ATGTTTTCTGTTTATGGAAATATTTCCATTCTTTCTCTGGGATTAGAATGAGTTTTGTTTGTTATTCGGTAATCTTTTCTGACTTGTTATAACTGCAGGTGCTATCATTGAGCAAGCAAACTGGGACACTTCTAGAATAAGGGATAAACTTCGACGTGATATTGATGCCCATGTTGCGACTATTCGTGCCGATAAATTATCTGAACTTTCTGCACATTTAGAGGTGAAGTCATGTTTTATGGCTTGAATACTGGACTTCTAATCTAGTTCATTTTGGAAGGCATTCATTGAGTGCTAATTTTTCTCCTAGACTTCCTCGTGGTTTTCTGAAACTCTTGTACCATCTGGGTGAATACCATATAATGTCCTTCTGAGCATTACTGAAGATGATAATAATGATTGCAGAAAAAACTGAAGGAAGCATTGTCAGGACCCGTAGAAGCTTTGCTTGATGGAGCTAATAACGAGACATGGCCAGCCATAAGAAAACTTCTTCAACGAGAGACTGAGTCTGCCATCTCTGAGCTGTCTAAAGGATTGGTGGGTTATGATATGGATGAAAAAACCAAGGAAAAAATGGTCACCAGTCTTGAGAATTATGCTAAGGGTGTAGTTGAATCAAAAACAAGGGAAGAAGCTGGAAGAGTCCTGATCCGTATGAAGGATAGGTATCAACTTTTCATGGATGCATCTGATTTGCCCCTTCTTCTTTGGTGCCATCCAATATCCATTGGTATTGATATTGTTTAATATTGTGAACAGGTTTTCCACATTGTTTAGCCATGATGCGGATTCAATGCCACGTGTTTGGACTGGGAAAGAAGATATCCGGGCAATCACCAAAACCGCTCGTTCTGCTGTATGACACCATATATTATTAGTATTTGATTCCTTTTTTCCTATTATTTATAAATTTGTATATTTATGTTTTATATTTAAATTATATATTTGTGCTGTAGTCCCTGAAGCTACTCTCTGTTATGGCTGCTTTACGATTGGATGAAGATGATTCCGGTGAGATAGACAATACTCTGTCGTCTGCCTTGTTGAATGTCTCAAACAGTAGCAATACAAAAGATAGGAGCATTGTGGCAACTGACCCTCTTGCCTCAAGCTCATGGGAAAAGGTTGGTATTTTAGAGTCCTGCTTTCCCCCCCTTGTCTGCATCTCTTGAAATTTATAGTTGCATAGAGGATACGAGCAAAAATGATTCTGTCTCTTTGGGAGGACAGTGGAATTTACCAAAGAACTATCGAGCTTTAGTAAGTTCTCTACTAGGAGTCACTTGTCTTGGTCTCAGAATCATCGTTTGAACGGTGTTTCTCTCTCCCGTGTTTAGACAAGTCTTTGTATTGTCCCCATTACTGGTTTTTACATCGCTTGCTCGTTACAGGTTTCACCAACACAGACATTGATTAGTCCTGTTCAGTGTAAATCTATATGGAGGCAATTCAAGGTGGAGACAGAATACACTGTCTCTCAGGCCATTGCTGCCCAGGTAATACTGAAACTTCTTAAGTATTAACTTGAAAAAAATGAATTTATAACAAATTAGATGTTTTATTTAAGTTGTTTTTCTTGGATATGATCAGATTAGAACTTTGCAATGAACATCTGGTTTATTGTTTATTTATTTTTCTATTTGGCTTTTTGGTCACTGAGGCAAAAGGATGTGAGGGTTTTTGTTCACATCAATGGTTACTTTAAGTAATTTGTTTTTTAGAAGGGAAACAAATTTCATTGATGAAATAACAGGAGCTTTTATGCTCCCAACACGAAAAGGTGAATTACAGAAAAGATCTTCGATTAGAAGTCAAAGAAGATGTATAGTACAAAATAAAATAAAACATGTTTACACCCATATATAGCATAAAATCCAGAAAGCTATCGAAGGTCGAGAAAACATCCCTGAAAATCCTTGCATTTCTTTCACACCAGAGGTTCCAGAAGAATATCCTTGCATTTAGTTGGTCAGTTAGGACATGTTAGTTTTATTTGGTTGAGAAGGATATAAATCCTTGGTCATCTTATTTTGCGGCATTATTGAATATTAAAGAACCTTACTTCTTGGACCACACTTGTTTTACACGCTGGTGACCTTACGTCAAGGAGGATGTTGCTATTGCTCCCTCGTAAAATTGAAAATTGTCAGACGGGTTTAAAATATCTATTTAGTGGTCAGACGGATTCCTTGAGCCTTGGGGGGTTCATTTAAATAATTGTGTAGATCAAATGTGGGTTTGGATAAAGATCTTACTGCAATAATTGCAAAGACAAGATATCATATTTGATCGATTTCCCAAATTTTAAAGGCATTTTCAGAATCCAGTCCGCCGATGAATTTGGAGTTTGGCCGGTGATATTTAGTATAATACTTCACTAATTTATTTTGAGTCAAGAGGTTGATGAGTCATGGACTCATTGTGATGGATAAGCCTAATTAAACAGCCTGTTCCATGTTTCTTATAAAGAAAAAGGAAATCTGATTACCACTTCAATAATTTCACACTTGATACTCAGTTCTCTTGGAACATATATACATATTTTTATGCGTCTATCTCAAACGTTATTATATTTTGCAGGAAGCCAGCAAACGTAACAACAACTGGTTGCCCCCGCCATGGGCAATTGCTGCAATGGTGATTCTCGGGTTTAATGAATTTATGACCCTTTTGAGGTTTGTGGTGATATTTTCTGCATTATAAAATGCTTGATCTTCCCCTGGTTTCTCTAAGCTCATGTTTACTCCCATTATTTGACAGAAATCCATTATATTTGGGAGTTATATTTGTTCTGTATTTACTCGCCAAAGCCCTGTGGGTGCAGCTAGATGTTTCTGGTCAATTTAGCAATGGTCTTGTAAGTATCAAATCTAACTTATGTTGTGTAGGACCTTATTTTTCAGCACCATTGGTGCCTGTTTTCACTGCTTGGAATTATTTGTGGTGTTGCCTTCAAATGCATTTTCGATTCACTTGGTCTGTTCTTCTATATCATTATGTTTCTTCAATTGTTTTTCTGTTAAGAAAGAATTAGTTCAATTGGCAATCCGTATTAGGGGAGGGACAAAATGTTCTTAAGATGAACCAAAAAAAACCCCTCATTTATGCAAGGAATCTGACGTCTGATCTTATTTGCCACCAGCTTCCAGGACTTCTTTCTTTGTCTTCCACATTTGTGCCTACCGTCATGAATCTTCTTAAAAAATTAGCAGAAGAAGGACAGCAGAGGCCTACCACTTCTGATCCTCAGAGCAACCCCGCTATTACATCAAAAAGGATTCGGAACAGCTCTAGCAACGATATGACATCGACTGCATCATCAGCAGTGACTGAGACAGAGGCCGGTGCCGAGTACACCAGTGGCTCAAAAGAAGATTAGGTTGAAGGAGTTGGTTATGGATTAATTTCTCCTTTTTTCTTTTCTGAAGATCCTGGGTTTCTTCCATCCACCTGTTGTCTTCACCAAATATATGATGATTAATGTTTGTTAACTATTGGAAGAATGTAAGAGCAAAGGGCTGAAGTTCAGGCTTTAATTTTTTTGCTGAGGGCCTCAAGCAGTGGCCTGGGGTGGTTGTTTGATAATGGGAAACCCCTTATAAGGGGATTCCATATATCAGTATAGGTGTTCGTTCATTCTCTGATCCCTTTTGGGTTTGAGTAGACTAAGAATGCTTCTCTTTTTCCTATATTATTGTTTGATCATCTGCTCTTTTTGCCTTTTATTTTGTCTTATAAGAGTTGTGACATTGATTGTGAGTATGTCTTTTCTCTTTAATTTTATAGCCTTGACCCTTCCTATATTCAGTTAATTGTAGTTTTTCCATTCCTATGTTTGTTCGTCTTGGTATTATAGTTCTCCCCGCTCCTTAGTTATGTGGTGAAAGTCTCATGTACAATTCTCGTAGTTAAAATTAACTCCTAAAAAGTCGCATTTTGGGATTTACCTACTTGAAATCAGCATGGCTGGTGGTATGAATGATTCTACTATAGTATCGTTGCATTATAGGTAATTAAACAATGAAAAAACTCAATAAAGATGACGTGTTGTGTGTAAATTAAAATGAGATGACATAACATAATGTCGTGGACATTTATCGAATCCACATGGGTGGCTTTTGTAATTTGTTATATAAATATTTAAAATCATTTTATAAATATTTAAAATTTTTGTAAGATTGATGATATCGGTTGATATGATAACTAGTATCTTATCCATTGAACTTAAAACGTTAGACATAGTATCGTATCCATTGAACTTAAAACGTCATTGAACTTAAAATGTTAAAACGAGAAAAATTCATAGAGGTATAATCAACTTTGTTAGTTACCCAATAACCAAGATTAATGCTTAATGTAGAAATCAAAATGTGGATTGAAAGTCAAGCATTCAAAAAAGGTTATTTATAAAAATGTTGAAAGGTGGATGAGTCCGAATATAGAAAGAAAACAAATTCCTTACCAAACACGTAGCGTTCCCACTGCCATGGATTTTGTGTGGATATGGCTATGGGCACCATTAAATATTAATTGGAGAGAGAGACATTAGCCTGGTGATCTCAATTTCTGAGCTTTTATGACCACCTTGTCGATGGCCACCATTAATTAAGGAGGCATGGAAGAAGCATGGATGTAATGAATTCTTTTCTTTAATTAGAATTCTAAAGATAGAGAAAGCCTGTGGGAGGAGGAGACTCTCCCACTTGTTCAAATCTTTAATCCCAACCCAAATGATTAACCCTCCATTTACATCTCAACCACGTTGGCCTCGCTCTCGGTCACATCTCACTTTTGTGGCAATGGAATAGCGATTGTACGACATTTGTTCTAACTCAGCGAACAAATCAACCATGAAAAATTCAGATTTTGGAGATAACGTCAGCGTATGCTTGAGCCTTAAGTCACATTTTAGATAATTGTTCTAGAAAATGTGAGCTAAAAAATATTTTAAAAACAATTTGAAAGAAAACAATATTATAAGCTAAAAGCTATTAGACAACGACTTTAATAGCATATAACCCAAGTAAGAAGAAGTAACAACTAGTCATATTTTCTATAGTACATTTTAAGGCATTTAAGTCTTGTTGAGTGTAGACATGATTTTGGTGAACGGTCATACACCCCCGTATTAAGACAACATGAAATAATAAAGACCTATCTAAGATGAAAGCATGTAAAAGGGGTTTGGAACGGGCATGCAGCCATGGACAACACATCCTGGATAAGCATAACTAGGACATTCGACAAGCGGCCATAGACAACACACCTTAAACAAGCATGATCGTGACATTAGGCAACACTAAACCAATAGGCTATGAACCTCATTGAACGTTTTCTTGAATGGGGAAGCTCCTAGAAGAGTTATCTTCTTCATCCATACTCTTCGTTGCGCGAAAAAACTGCGAACTCCCAACTTGTGATATATTTCATCAGAGCGCAAACCCTTCTTAGCTATGGATTCTGGGTTCTGTAAGAGAGACATTGTAGAAAATGTTCCTTGGAACTTTTCATCCTTTGACTTCTACATCTACATGGTCAATTTTAAAAATCCATACAAAAAAAAGAAGAAAAAGAGTAGACCCCAGTTATACGTTGCACCAAAGATTTTCAACACAAAAGGTAAGTCACTAGAGTGCTAGAGCATAGGCTCCCATCTGTTCTTAAAGTACAAAGCAAAATATGTAAAAATTGACATAGCAGAAAGCAAACAAACAGAGAAAAAGAAAAGTATGGTGCTGTATTTAATGTCCAAAACCTTGACATAGGTTAGTAAATTAAATGCTGTGAAAGCAAACAAACAAACAAGCATGTAGAAGTCAACTTGAGTGTGAATATCACCACCAATAAAATTTCTATCATTGCCAACTCTCCAACATTGTATTTGAATAATATTCTAAAAAACAAAGTAAATAAATTAACACCAATATGGTTGGTTGTAATGAATTCCTCTGTTCTACCTGATTATAATAAATTAGTCTGCCTCTGTCACATAAATTGTGACTATAAATGTTCCCCCTATAAAACGAAACAATGACAGTTCTACAAGGGCATCTTCTAGTACAAAGAAATAAATCGGATTTTCCTTTTCCTATCAATCCACTCACCCAGGATGAAATATTGCTATAAAATATGAACAAACCCCAAGAGGATGATGCTTTTCTGATGTAAAATTTTAAGCCAAAGGCCACATCCCATTTCATTTTGAGAAATTTGCCACCAAAAGCATGGCTTCCATTTGCATAAATGTTTCCTTAGATGCTCATTAATGACTGATGCAGAAGATATAGTTGAATACCGATCAGAATTGCTTTGTTGCCTATACTGAGTCCATTAAATATGGTCCATAATAACCAGGTCTTCTCAGATTTTGGCTTCCAAACAACGCTTATTTATTTTCAGAAAGGGGCAATTATTGCAATTGCAATTGCAATTGCTTTGCGTGGAAGGTGGGAGATGACATTTTTCACCAGTTGGGTGAAACTTATTTAATGGGATTCATCCACTTTTCTCTTAACCACATCGAATTGACTTAACAGTCATTTCAAGAAAGTTCAAAGGGGAAAGATTCAAATTAAGGTACCCTACCGAGAATTTAATTTCCAAAAATGCTCACCAAATATAGTAGGACCCGGTAATTGTCATTGAGATTAGTCAAAATGCATACAAACTAGGCCAAACGCTCACAAGTAAAATATCAAAACATTATACAAAATTGTGGAAGACTAAGATCAAACAGTCAGAGTTCACAGATGGCACAGTGGCTTCTCATGAGCGGTGCAGATGAGATTTAAATGAGACAAGCCAGGTCTGTTTGTCAAAATAAATGTAGCTGACAAGTAGAAGAAAAGGATTTTTTTCTTTCTTTTTTTTAGTTCAGATGAAAATGGGCTATGGACAGTAGATTTGTTTTAATATTTAACGAGCTTTTAAGAAATAATTTCCAGATTCCACAGTGATATTCTTCAAAAGATTTTTTAAAAACAGAAGAATTATCATTCAACGTGTTTGAGACAACTTTATAACAGCACATATACCCACGTCCCATACCCGAACTTAAAACTATTTGAGACAATTAAAAAAACAAAAAAAAAACATTTCATGTATGGCAGAGATCCTATTTGACAAATGGTCATTCGGTTAAAAGCTTACATGGCTCTTCACATTGTATTGGTGGTGCAAGGTGTTCAAAACATAAGACAAAGGGGGACACTTGTGTTGGATGTTGGAGGGTTGAAAATTTGTGTTGGATGTTAGATGGTTGATCATTAAGACACTTAAATGTAAAACTGTTCATTACGATGGTTCTATGAATGGTCCTAAGAGCTTAAGGTTTTCTGCCTGATGACACCCAAAGTTCAACAGGACGGAAATCAATATCGACATCATTTATCAACTACACTATCCTCTTCTTTTTTTTTCCCAACAAGTAACTAGACCTTTCATTTAAGTAATGAAAAGAAATAGAAGTTCAAAAGAACAAGATCCAAAGAAGGAAATAAGAAACAGATAGAAAAGAAATGAACGACTTAGTACTATAAAAGAATCCCAATTAATACAAATATCCTGAAAAGCACAATCAATAAACAATTCAGACAGAGATGACCATTGAAAGACTACACTATTCTTATATAATGTTACCTACTGTCGAACAAACGTTCAGTATTGAATGATAGTACAAAACGAATCCAAATTGAGTTCTAACTTCCCTATGTTCCCTTACCTATAATAGAGCAGACACTCGAGAAAGAATCAGACCATTTATTCCTACATTGACAGTTTTCTACAAAGAGCTGGGTGTATTTATTAGCATTTCAATGCGTCCTTATGCTTTCCCAAGAACATTGAAGAATGGTCCATGGAAAGTGCTTTTCAATGATATCACTATTTATTTCTTAAGAAAATTACTTCCCTCACTCTATGCATTCCACTCTCAGGAGGTAAGTATTATACAAAAGATAATATGTGATATCATGTGTTGTACATAGAGATGTTCTTTCCCCCACCCCACACATATGTCCCATATTCGAGTATGTGTATGAGTATGTGTATGAGTATGTGCATGTATGTATATGTAGATATATATATATATATCTACATATACATACATGCACATACTCATACACATACTCATACACATAAGGAAAAGAGATAAAACTTAAAAAAGCTTCAATCAAGTAAAATAATACCTAAGAAATACTTATAAAAAGACCTTCGTCACCAATGCTATATTTCTGGATAATTATCTCAATGCATATGAAATATAATGTTAAGAAAAACTTTAAAATGAGATTTCTTGAAAACTAGCCATTTAAATGAAGCTTTTTCAAAATGAAGGCATTGCATGTAATTGAGATTTAAAAAGAAAAACAAATGGAGAATAATTCTTTGGAGAGAATACGATCCTCGTGAAAATTACCTAAAAAATTTGTTGAGATAGAAAATTAAATAGGAGGCAGGAAAACCAACTAGAAGAGTCTAGAATTTCAGTCCCATAACAAATGCAACTTACATTACACTGTATCCTTTCTCCCAAGAACGAAAAAGATCAAAAAAAGAGAAAGAAAAGTCTAGAATTTCAGTACCACTACACCAAAACATTCGTGAGAGAGAGAGAGATTCTTGGGGAAATAAGAAGAGTTAAAAAGGAAATTCAACTAACAACCTGAACTTTCACTTTGTCAGGTATTACTCGTGAAATTAACTTTCTCAATTAATCGAACTTTCAACACCGATAATCCAAGTGAAAATCATTTAACTTGGAAAAAAAGACAGTTGAATGCCTCTCTTTTCGAAAAAAAAGTTTAGAAGAAGCTAAGCTTCCCTTACCAGCGACAAATTAGACAAAATTTCCATCACACAAAATTGAAAATTAAGAAATATGTTGAATACAAAATAAAAACTGAGACCCAAGGCCAGAACTTTCTGACTTTTATTATTATAAAAAAAAAAAAAAAAAAAAACACTATCTGACTTTCAACAACAAATTAACAAAATAACACTTTGGACAGTTTTTTTTTTCTTTTAAAATAAAAATCTTATATAATAAATGAACAAAATTAAGCATGAAGGAATCATAAACTTCTAGTCCCATCCTCTCCCTATAATTTCTCCCAACAATCTCTATTACGCCTCTACCTTCCCTGATACGAATTCATAAATACCAATAGTCATAAATAGCACCTTTGGTTGGATAGTCGTGTGGAAACTGGGGAACCCTATCGTTTCTTTCCTTTTTTCTTTTTCTTTTCAACAATCTTTTATAGAACAGTTGGTAAGTCGGACCTCCACAATGGTATGATATTGTCCACTTTGAGAATAACCTCTCATGGCTTTTTTGATTTATCAAGAAGGCCTCATGCAAATGGACATGTATTCCTTACTTATAAACCAGGATCATCTTCTAAACTAGCCAATGTAGGACTCCCTCCCAACAATCCTCCCCTGGAACAAAGTACACCTGAGGTTCTATGTAGCCCTCGAACAGACTCCCCTTAATCGAGGCTCGACTCCTTCCTCTGGAGCCTTCGAACAAAGTACACCCTTTGTTCTACACATGAGCCACTTTTGACTACACCTTTGAGGCTAGCAATTTCTTTGTTCGACACTTGAGGATTCTATTGACATGACTAAATTAAGGGCATAGCTCTGATACCATATTAGGAATCACGGACCTCTACAATGGTATGATATTGTTCACTTTGAGCATAAGCTCTCATGGTCTTGCTTTTGGTTCCTCCAGAAGGCCTCATGTACATGGACATGTATTCCTTACTTATAAACTCGTGATCATCTTCTAAATTAGCTCCCTCAAACCGTCAGTTTTGTCCTCTCATTGTTCAAAAACGTTAATACAATCAAGTCATTTCCTTCTAAAGATATCAAGAACTAGACATGAACTTGAGCGGACAAAAAACTTCCAAATAAAGATTTGGACTAGTTCAATCTGTTGTTTTCTCTTGTTATTATTGTCAAAAGGCTATTCGTTCTTCAACAAACGAAATTTGGTACCATAAATTGATATAACCAACACTTCACTTTTCAAATCCCAATCTCCTATCTTCAACTTAGCCTTTTCTACCTCAAAACTAGTCCCCCTACGGCTATAATTCTGAAGATTATAAAATATCATAGTGGCTTTCCCTTTTCACCCATCAGTTTTTTACAAATCACTCAAACTAGACCATATCAACTGGTAGCTACCGAAGCAATAAATATACGTACCCATACAGTTTAAAGGGGAGATTGGTGAATGAGCTGTCTTCAAGTATTCATGAAAGGCCATGATCAAATCACAGAAGAAATCATCCAACGATCCACGAGCAGCCATCCAAAACCCCAACTGCAACATTGAATCCATCATTAAATATGCATATATACAGTAGCTACATGATAATTTTTTTCCCTCTTTCATTTTCTTTTTCATTGCCAGATGGATGTGTAATAAATCTGAGACCCCCACACATAATTTTCTTGGAGTTTGTTTTCTGCGTATAAATCTGAAACCCACACACAAACCAAGGCCAACCAGGAGAAGCCACATACAGGTTTGGAAGAAGCAGCATCCTTTGCTACTGCTACTGTCTTTTGCCTTGTCTGCAACTCAATGGCGTTGGTTGGGACAGTCAAGCTCTTTCTCTTCCTTGTTCTCCTCTGCCTCTTACACCTTCTCTCTTCTTGTCAAGGTTGGTTTTTCTGATATCTTCCATTACAAAGTAGCTACTACAACAAATCCCTGTTTCAATTCATTTCTGATCAAAGTTCGCTTAAAAAATCTTCAAAACAGAGCGACACCTATTGTAGTTTGGGTTCACATTCTAGGATTAGAGAGAAAGAGTCACTGGCTTTTCTCATCTACTTTGCCCTACAATATCCATACACAAAACAAAAACAGAGTTTTGAGCTCTTCTCTTAATCGAAATCACCTCTTCTTCGCATTGCTAACATGCAAAAAAAACTGTGCAAGTGCAGGTAGGGAAAATTGGGTGAAATCGCAATACCCGTTCATCAAGCGCGCAAGCTCGTTCTATCGGGACGGCCATGAGAGAGAGAAAGGATACGATTACATAATAGTCGGAGGTGGCACCGCCGGCTGTCCATTGGCGGCGACATTATCACAGAACTTCAGCGTGCTGCTACTGGAAAGAGGCGGCGTTCCTTTCACGAATGCAAATGTGTCTTTACTTCGAAATTTCCACATTGGCCTCGCCGACACTTCTCCGACCTCGGCTTCTCAGGCCTTCGCTTCGACGGACGGAGTTATCAACGCGAGAGCTAGGGTTTTAGGCGGCGGTTCCGCCATTAATGCCGGCTTCTACACCAGAGCAAGTTCAAGGTTCTTCATTTCCCACCATCTTTTAAATTCTTTTTCTTTTCTTTTAAATATCCATTTTTTATCCTTCAAATTATATTATTAATTAAAATTTCTTCCCATTTCTACTTTCAAAATTTATTTGAAAAATATTAATTAAAATATTGATAGAAATGTAATCCATCAATTTTAATATTTATTTCGAATATTAAATCGATACTTTATTTACTGTCTTAATTTTAATTTTAATAATGATAGAAATGTAAATATTAAATTTTAATTTTTTAAAAAGGTAATTATTGTTTTATCTATTTTTTATTTAATCATGATATTTTAAGTTGTTATCAATTTATTTTTCCCTATTAAAAATGGTTAATTTCATTATTTAAAAAATAATAATTTTCAATTTAAAATATTTTCATTAACCTTTATTTTGTTTTTTTTTTTCATTTTATGAGAATTGACTTAATAAAATGCTTAAAAATTACGAGCATATTTAAATATAAATTATTTTTACAATTTAACAATATTTTTATTAAAATTATAAAATTATTTGTCTCAATAATTATAATTAGTGGGGATTTGCAGATTTATAAAGAAAGTCGGGTGGGATGAGAAGTTGGTGAATGAATCGTATTCATGGGTGGAGAAGCGGATCGTTCACCGGCCAAAGCTCACCGATTGGCAGAAGACTTTCACCGACAGTCTATTGGACGTCGGAATCTCGCCCTTCAACGGCTTCACCTACGATCATCTCTACGGCACCAAAGTCGGAGGGACCATTTTCGACCGCTTCGGCCGCCGTCACACCACCGCCGAGCTCTTACCTTCAGGGAATCCTGATAACTTAACGGTTCTGGTTCACGCCACTGTTCAACGACTCATCTTTGACACCGCTCACGGTTTGTTTGCTTCATTCTCTTACATTCAGCGTTTTCATTGATCATGATTTTGTTTTTGCCTGTTAGTTTCCTAAAGCATGGGATTCTGCGGATTTGTATTCGTTACTTTGCCTAATTGATTGAGAAATTATGGTGAAATTTTTTACATTGCATACTATCGGCATGGATATTTAGTCTTGAAAGGGTTGCTTGTATTTAGCTCCTGAACTAGCGATATTAGGTTGTTATCACTAACTTGTCAGTCAGAATAAGTCCCTGGTAGTTGATCATTCTAGTAGGTTATGTAGTTTTTGGAGAACAGTTTACGATGATTTGAAATCGTGAATTATGAATCTTCTTCCATTTTTGGATGAAATAAAATGAAGTAGGAGAATAGCCCAAAATGAGCCGGCGGCATAATCTTTAAATAATACAATCACTTAAAAATGTGAACTAATGGAGATATTATAAACGTTTTAAAGTGCAATGACTATAAATTGACACAAATTTGAAAGTTCAACCCCAATTGGGAACATTTTAATCAGATAAATACAATTCTGAATGTTCAGGTAAGAAACCGAAGGCGATTGGAGTCGTATTCAAGGATGAAACTGGTAATCAGCATAAAGTTTTTCTATCAAGCAGGCGGCAGAGTGAAGTTATATTATCCAGTGGGGCAATTGCGACTCCACAAATGCTGTTGCTCAGTGGAATTGGTCCCAGGGATGATCTTGAAAAGTGGAACATCTCCATGGTGCTACACAATGAGTTTGTTGGAAAAGACATGGCTGATAACCCATTGAACTCCATTTTTGTTCCAAGCAACAGACCAGTTCAGCAGTCACTTATACAAGCAGTTGGAATCACAAAGCGGGGCGTTTATATTGAATCTAGCAGTGGCTTTGGACAGTCGGGGGAAAGTATTCATTGCCACCATGGTTTGCTGTCAGCTGAGGTAAATTAAACATCTCCCTTTTACTTTTAAAAGATAAATAACGTGGAGAGAACTGAAGAACTGTCTTTATATTTTATTGCTACCAATCTTTTAACTGAGTTTATGATTTTGCCTCTTCAAATGAAGGCTTTTGAGTTGAACAAAGTTATCTTTGCACGTGAGCAAAGTAGAACCAAAGTATGTAAAAAAGATGTTGATTCTGTATGATACTTAATTTTGTGGGTGTTACCAGATTGGGCAGCTATCCACCATTCCCCCAAAACAAAGAACGCCTGAAGCCATTCAAAATTACATCAAAAGTAAACGAGACCTACCCCATGAGGCATTTAAAGGAGGTTTCATTCTAGAAAAAGTAGCAAATCCCTTCTCGAAAGGACACTTGAGCTTGATCAACACTAACATTGACGACAATCCTGCCGTGACCTTCAACTACTTTCATCATCCATATGATCTTCACCGCTGCGTTGAAGGGGTTCGAATGCTTACAAAGATTGCGGATTCTGAATACTTCACGAACTTCACACAGTGTGATAAGGAAACATTAGACAAGCTGCTTAACATTAGTGTAAAGGCCAACATCAACCTCATACCCAAGCATACCAATGACACCAAGTCCTTGGAGCAGTTCTGTAAAGACACTGTGATCACAATCTGGCACTACCATGGAGGGTGTCTAGTGGACAAGGTGGTGAGCCATGACCTTAAAGTTCTCGGTGTAACTAGACTGCGTATTATCGATGGTTCAACATTCAGCGAGTCCCCGGGCACCAATCCTCAAGCTACTGTTATGATGATGGGAAGGTATAGTTATCAACATCTATTTGTGGGCTACCACGCTCTTCAAAAGAAGAACGATGAAAAAGAGCAGCTAACTACATCTGGGTACCTTTTTTTTGTGTATGCAGGTACATGGGCCTGAAAATCTTAATGGATAGATTGGGAAAGAGAGCTGGAACATAGGAAGCATAAAGAAGCAGTGTTAGTTGCTAGTGAAAGAGTGATCGATCTGGTGTCTTGATTCTTAAAGAACAGTGGACATACAGATCTCTGGCTTGCCTGGAAATTACAAAAAAATTAATATGATAAGTATTCTTTATATTTAGTCTCTTTCAGCTACTTGGTTCCATTTTGTTTTGTATTATCTTGATAGTTAGCGAAAATGAGGGAGGGAAGAAGAAGAAAGAGACTGGTCTCAACTAGACTTGTTCTTTATGTCTGAGCTAGATTATAGTGATTGTGCATCCATAGTTATGTACGTATCATCATGTATCTTGTGATCTTGATAGATGACAGTGTGAATAACTTTTAAGTGGAAGATCTAACTTGTTTGCTTTTATTCAATGAATTCTTTGTCCATTTCTTTTAATTGTATTGGATTAGTGTTAATTTATCTTCTCTCAGGCCTTGTCTGTGTTACTGCTTATGTCGATTATATTGAAATTAATACTCCAAGAACTGATCTAGAAAAATGGCCACAATTTAAAGGGGCCTCAGAAATGCAATTGCTTTGAACTTCAAGAGTTGGCAATGCAAGATATGGATGAACATAAACTAATGAAATCCAAGCCAAAACTTAGCAGAAAAGCCATGTCAAATTTCTTTGCTGCTGCCACAGGTGCTTTTTCCTTCCAGTTCTCGATGGTTTCAAGTTTGATGAATGCCCATCTGGAAGAAACCAGTTCCTGTCCTTGATCAAACCCGATACCGATAATCCTACATTCATCTCCTTTCCTGAAGGAAACGTGTGTGCGATGTCTTGGTACCGTTTAGTATTTCACCTGAAATTCCTCCCGAGTTTACTATCCATGTAGCTTACAAGTTTGTCTCGGCTGTAACTTCGTGAAACTGGTCTGTTAGATTCTCAAACTCACTGCACACGAGTTTCAGTGCTTGAACAACCTCACCCATAAATGGTCTATGAGACACTTCCGGTTGCACACACATAGAAGCAATTGCTGCTACTCTGGCCAAGCTATCAATGGAGATATCAGACTTAATAGCTGGGTCTGTTATTACATCTAACCCCTCCTTGCTCGTGAGAAGCGGACGAGCCCAAGCAACGAGATTTTCTTGTCCGGGAGGAAGCGACAAGTCTACTGGCTTTCTTCCTGTAAGTAGCTCAAGTAGGACGACACCATAGCTGTAGACATCGCTCTTTACAAGAAGGTGGCCAGTCATTGCATATTCTGGAGCTAGATAACTGGAAACCAGAAGGTAATGTACTGTATTAGATTAATGTTGATGGAGTTGAGAAAGTAAGTGAATTTGAAGGAACTTCAGTTTTTTACCCAAAAGTTCCCATAACATGTGTTGAGATGTGCTTGTTTCCTTCCTCTAGTGCAGTTCTAGCTAATCCAAAATCTGAAACTTTAGGTGTGAAGTCACATTCCAACAAGATGTTGCTAGCTTTGAAGTCTCGATGAATGACTCGAGGATTGGAGTCTTCGTGCAGATAGGCTAGGCCTCGAGCAGCACCGAGGGCAACCTTCAAGCGGGCATCCCAGTCAAGTGGACTGATTAACTTGTCAATGCCTGGAATCATCACAAAACAAGTTGAATATGAATGTCAAACCATGTAAGGTACTCAAGATTTTGCAGAAAGTTGCTCACCATGTAAGTGTGATTCAACACTTCCATTAGGAACCAATTCGTATACCAGGCAACGATTTCGATCTTCGGTACAAATTCCTATCAACTTAACTAGATTTCTATGGTGTAGACGACTCAGCATCTCGACTTCTGCCAAGAATTCCTGAATACCATGTTGATTATGTCTTTTAAGAACCTTCACAGCCACTTCCCTTCCATCATCTAAACGGCCACTGTAAACAATTCCAAAGCCACCTTCTCCTAATATTCTTGCAGAGTCGAAGTTATCAGTGGCATTCTCCATGTCTTTCAGGGTGAAGTGCTTTGCCGCCCCGATATACGTCATAGGATCG